GACCAATACCCAGTTTGCTCTAAGCTTCTGGGGTCTTCTGTGCCACAAACCCAGCGCTTCACAGTTCCGGCATCAGTTGGGGTTTTCCCCTTTTTAGACTTTCTGAGAGAATCCCCTCTAGCATGCTGTCCTTTATCATTGCTTCCTGCGGACTCTTATTAAGGATCACAAAACTGCCCCCTTCCCCCACTGCAGGAGGCCAGCACAGCCCCAGCTCCCGCCAGTTTGATTAATGTGTCTTGGCTAATTGTGTGAAGGATGGCAGGCCTTTAGCAAGTGTGACCAGCTCATTGTTCAGCCAATCACAGGCGCCTCGGTGAGCATGTGAAAAGGGGGTGTGTTGCCAGGGGAGGGTGAGTGTTCTGGCGGCTGAGTCAAAGGAGGAGCATTTTGGGGGGTCACAGAGCAACACCCACTTCTTTGAGGGGATGTTACTATGCTCTACTAAACCTGTAAACCTCGTCCTCAAAGCACTTTTTTTCTCCTCCCTCTTTTTTCAAGGAGATCTTTTTTTCCCAGGGTGTGAGCAGGCGAGACACTGGCTACTCTGCAGATGGAGTTCACGTTCCAGGGTTTTTAATATTTCACTTTTATATTTCTGTTAGAGAATGATCCTGCTGAGAGTCTGGGAATCCACGCTCGTCAGAACCCCCTCACTGACACTTGGATATATTGCTCTGAAAGCTATCCCAGGAGAAAAGATTAAACAAAAAAGAAAAAAAAGAAAAGAAAGAAAGCCTACTTTTCAAAGGCTACTTCTTAATCTGCCCACATCAAAATAAGACAACTGGCCCTTTGAAGTAGAGGACACAGAGTTCTCAGCCAGCTTGCTTACAATGGGGGTGGGGGAGAGGGACGGAAGGAAGGAGGAAGGAAGGAAGGAAGGAAGGAAGGAAGGAAGGAAGGAAGGGAGGAAGGGAGGAAAGGAAGGAAGGAAGGAAGGAAGGAAGGAAGGAAGGAAGGAAGGAAGGAAGGAAGGAAGGAAGGAAGGAAGGAAGGAAGGAAGGAAGGAAGGAAGGAAGGAAGGGAGGGAGGAAGGGAGGGAAGGAGGGAGGGAGGGAGGAAGCAAAGAAGGAAGGAAAAGAAAGGGAAAAAAGAAGGAAGAAAGAAAGAGAGAGAGAGAGAGAGAAAGACCAGTCTCTAAAATTATGCACCTCTTCAATCGAGAGAGAGAGAGAGAGAGAGAGAGAGAGAGAGACCAGTCTCTAAAATTATGCACCTCTTCCATTACCCCGATTTAATCAGGCACAACAGTCTGAATTGAGGGCTAGAATACCTGCAACCCTGCTCACCAGTGTCCCTAGAAGACAGGTAACTGCTCAGACAGATCCGTCAGCGGGCTGGGTTTTGTTTGTATTAACCTACACACAGAGGGACTGTGTTGTCTTCCTAGACACAGTCCAGGCATGGCCGGGAAATGGCAGAGTGGGCGCAGATGGAAACTGGAGGATTTGCCAAGTTCTGAGCTCTTTGGCTCCCTCAAAATTGCAGTGCCAGCTGAGTTCAAAGTTTGGGGTCCTTACTACAACTTAGAACAGAAAGGAAAACAATGGAAAGCTCATCCAGAATGGTGTCCACACTTCTGCTCGGTGACATTTTTCTGGCTCTCATCCCCTCTTCTGGTCCCTTAGTCATTGGAGTACAAGGGCATGAAGCAGCAACAGCAGCTCAGAGGGGGGTGGGGTTGCTAGGGAAGGGGGTTCAGAGAGACTTGTCGATTCACAGAGGGGGTGTTCCTGGAACACAGAGGTGGACGACCCCTTTAAAACAGTCCTTATGATTGAGTCATTGATGGTATTGATCCCAGACCCAAGAGAAGCTGGACTGTTAAGATGTACAGATAGGGGTTTACATCTTGGCTGTGGCTAAGGCTATAACTCTTGTCCTTCCACAAGCTCTGCCCACAGCCACTCACTGCTCAAGCCCATGGACACAGGGCTCACACATGAGCACCCTGCCCCTCAGAAGGAGAGCTGGGGAAAGGGTGTGGACGAGTAAATACAAACCCAAGCTCTTAAACAGCCAAGAACGGACCCAGCACCCAGCACAGCAGAGAGTAGGTGCTTAAAATGGTTGGTCTCATTTGAATTACACTGAATGCTTCCTAGAAAAACAATGCGAAGTCTGAACCCCATTGATGCTGAATCTGGAGATTTCTCTCCAGAAATAAAAAATTGCACATGACTTTGAAACGACAGCAAAATGAAAGATGTCACCTATTTTTCACTGTTTTATTGGAACCCCAGTTACCTTATTTAGTCCAGAATCTGGCAGGGGAGCATTTGGCCAAGTTCCTATCATTGTTGTTCTCAACTAGGCCTTCTGTACTGAGAAACTGTTTATTGCCTGAACCAACCTGAAACCCAAATGTTTGAAGTTTGGGGAAACATCACATGCTCACTGTGGCAGCTTTGTATCAACATTATCCAAATTGTTTTCTACAACCCATCTGTGACCCTAAACTTCTGCTTGCACCCATTGCAGAAAACTGGGGGTGGGGGTGGGGTCCCATTTTCACCTGGAGGAGAGCGTATAGGCGGGGTGAAGAGAGGTATGGGCAGGGTCGGAAAAGACGAAAGCCAGACTCTCCTAGAAACCATGGCAACAAGAGAGAGGACCTATCGCAGCCTGGGTCCTGGTCTCCGCAAGAAGCCTGTTCTTTTTTCTCTCTATCTCAGACCAAAGGCAAGGCCCTGTGGCCAGACAGCAGCATTTTTCTCAGGTGCCAAACTAGCAAAATGGTTAGAAATGGTAACCTATGTGTGAGTGACCCTAAAGCCATTTAGCAATGCCTACGACCATTCACACAAAGCTGAAATGACTTTATGGTTTGTCTTTAGCTTGCTATAAGGTTTCCGTAATCCTAGTTAGTTCAAGATCTCTGATCCCCGTGGATAGCTGTTTGAGCAAAAATAGTAGATGCTGCAGAAAGAAAGAAAACCATCCCTAGCCTCCATTGTCCACTGTTTTTCTCTTTAACCACCTTTTCCATCCCTCTCCAGTGTCTTGCTCTCAGGAAGCCCTTGCAAGATAAGCTCATACCAATGTTCACAGTGACAACAGTTTGGAAAAAAAAAAAAATCCGTTTTTAGTCATGGGGCACCGTAAGACTATGAAGACTAGAAAAGGTGACTTGGGCCACATTCACCCTAACCTGTCCTTCTCTGTGCATATCTACCTCTCCTTCCATCCTGGCAGCAGGAGTCCAGCTCTCGTGTGGCCATTCTTGCTTCTCCAGCATCGGATACATCCCTTCATCCTATAGCTCACCGCTTGGCTCCACCCTTCTGTCTCTACATCTTTGATGTGACAACTGGTTAATCTGTCCCCTCTGCCATGGTCTTGGGACCATTCCTCACAGACCTCCCCCGTGGACAACACGTCTAACACTTCCATATCCACCCTAGGAGCTAGTCTTGGAGGACCAAATACGTGACAGAAAATGACCCAGTGGTGAACTCTTGTACAATCTAGACACATCTTAGCTCTCCTGCCCAAGGCCTAATGAGCCAAATGAGTTTCTACCTCCCCTCTGTTGTAGAAGCATAGAAATCCATGACAGCCCTGGGCTCAAACATGACACTATCTTTGTAGTTGCTTCCTTTGGCACTTGTGTATTTGGAAATGGATGTGGAATCCACAGTAACAGTCATTTCAAATGCTCATTCAGTTTGCTACTTGTGGTTTACAGAGCTTGAGAACTAATCTAACCTTAACTACTATTTCAGTGTCCTTCTCGTAAAAGGATTAGTCAGGGAATTCAAGAACCTAAAAATTTGTCTAGACCTATCTTCCCTGTTGAGTTAACAACAATAGAACACTCTGTGTACCTAAATCTCTCACACTGCTAATTCTTAGAGCACTCCAAAGCTCAAATCAAATGTTACCTGGATTGTAGTTAGGTAGTTTGGAAACTCCAGGCCAGGTGTCCTCGGTAGGGACTCCCAACACCTACGCAAAGCCAAAGAAAGACAGAGAGAAGTTAGGGGAGACGTGAGGCGGATGGAGCAGGTGTGAAGACATGAAGGACAGATCAGGCAAGAATTAGACGTAGGTCACATTACACCAGCTGATGTATCCAAGAAAGAAACTTTTGTGTTTCCTTATTTGTAGCTGTATGGGCAAAACTAGTATATTCCTGTGGTCCTGTAATGGTCAATTTTATGGGTGAACTTGATTGAGGCAAGGGATGCCCAGATAGCTGGTAAAACATCTTTTCTGGGTGTGCCTGTGAGATGTTTCAGGAAGAGATTAGCATTTGAATCAGTGGACTGAGTAGAGACCCGTCCTCACCCACCTGGGAAGCATCATCCAACCCATTGAGGGCTCCAAGAGGAACAGATAGGTGGAGGAAGGACATGATCTCTCTCTTTTTGAGCTGGGATGTCTGATTTCTCCTGCCCTCAGACATCAGTGCCCCTGGCTCTCGGGTCTTCAGACTCAGATTTATCACCGGCAGCCCCCGCAGTTCTCGGGCCCTTGGCCTCGGACTAAATTATAGCAGAACCACTGGCTTTTCTGGTCTCCAGTTTGCAAATGACATATTTCAGCCTCCATGACTGCATGAGCCAATTCCAACAATAGATCTCCTCTTATAGATCTCTAGATATCCTATTGGCTTTGTTTCTCTGGAGAATCCTAATACAGGTTCTGAGCTTGTGTCTCCACTAACTCACTTGTTCTGAAGCAGATCATACAGCCTTGCTTGAAGTCATATCCTCATCATTAAATATCTTTTGCACGACCAACATACATTAGGATGCTATGTTGGGAGCTGGGATATAAAGAAGCAGGAGGGATGTCCCTTTGCCTTACATTAGAGAACTATATATATATCCAACAGGAGGCATTGACAGCCTACATTATGCCCCAGCCTGGCGTTCAGCTGTTCACAATACGCTCAAATTAAAAGGGTTCAGATTACTGACCTTGAGGCAGTGGAATGTTGGCTAAAATTGATCCCTAGCCCAACCCCAGTCCTTTCTACCAAATTCATCTCATTTGCTTGAGTTTTCTGTGGCCCAACAGCTTGGAGTCTGGTATTTGGGTTTTAACTGGTGGGTAGTAATAGTAACAACATCACTAAAGAAAACCTCCTTTGTACTTTGGCTTACCAAATTAAAGCTCTAGTTTTGAATTAATGGGAAAATAACAGTCCTTGGGAATACAACGACAAAACATTTCAGATTTGGGATGGTGATGTTTCTGAGTTTCCTTATAGGTATCGCCTTATCATTTTTAAAAAAAGATAATCATAAAAGCCCAATGTTAGTTATATCTGGGAGCTAGAATAACACTGTTTTTATAAAACGTTAGTAAACTACTAATAGCTTTTATTACACCATTACAATATAATTCTTCTTAGAAGCATTTTTTATAGAAAGAGGCTACAGAATCCATTTTAAAATGCTGGACAGAGACAATAAGAAGTCAACTGCCCAACAAGTGGCTGATGATCATCAATGAGGAATCCAGAACCTTAATACCCACCGGCTTGCTGACCAGGACTCTGGCAGGAAAGTACATTTTGTGGTGCCTGTTAAGCTTGTCCTCGAACAAAAGACACCCAAGTGCTATTTTCCCTCATAGAATGAAAAATCACACCACACAGCAAAATCTTCTTTCTTTGATCCATTCCCTAAACAAGCTGAAAAGCTACTGGGAGGATTACAGGCGTCTCCTATCAACCACCTGAGCCCAAGAGGCACTAAAGGTCCTGAATCCATTGTGAAAAACCAACTGGACTACTTCTACTTTTGTAGGAGTGGGCAGGAGGATGGGAAGCTAATTCCTCGTTTTTAACCTACCATCATATGCACTGGATGCTTATTGCACAGAGGTGCATGCAAGCCAGTGGATGTGACTCACAGATAGCCATACGTCTTTGGTTAATGGGCAAAGTACAATGAAAAGAAAGCAAAGATAATGAAGAGAAAGCAATAAGGGAAATAAATAACGACCACATCCATATTTTTCTGAGGCGAACCCAAGTGCTATTTTCCCTCATAGAATGAAAAATCACACCACACAGCAAAATCTTCTTTCTTTGATCCATTCCCTAAACAAGCTGAAAAGCTACTGGGAGGATTACAGGCGTCTCCTATCAACCACCTGAGCCCAAGGAGCACTAAAGGTCCTGAATCCATTGTGAAAAGCCAACGGGACTACTTCTACTTTTGTAAGAGTGGGCAGGAGGGTGGGAAGCTAATTCCTCATTTTTAACCTACCATCATATGCATTGGATGCTTATTGCACAGAGGTGCATGTAAGCCAGTGGATGTGACTCGCAGATAGCCATACATCTTCGGTTAATGGGCAAAGTACAATGAAAAGAAAGCAAAGATAATGAAGAGAAAGCAATAAGGGAAATAAATAACGACCACATCCATATTTTTCTGAGGCGAAAGTTACCAGAATGGTTATTTTGTGTTATGTTTAATTAAATCAGCAAAATGGATACCAATAATGTTTACTATATTAAAAGCTGTAAGCTTGAGATTTTAAACGTTTAAACAAAATTCAATATCCTTTATTTGGAAATTTGATGCTGAGTTTCTATTTGAAAGTTATTGAATTTGTTTTCACTTGAGAAAATTACTAAATCTCCACTTCAGTCTGGGAAACTGAAAACCAAAAATTGTTGATTTACGCCCTCCCTAAAGGCTCCTAAAAAGGCAGCTAGTGAGTGCTATATTTGAAAACAGTGGGCTGCAGGGGCTGTTTTCGACCTTTGTTGGAATGGAAACTGAAGGCATTTTGATTAATGGATTCATCAGATGTGAAAACACACACACACACACACACACACACACACACACACACACACACACTTCAGAAAGATGATAAAAGAAAAATTCAGGACTTCTCATAATGTCTTTATTCCTAAGAGTGAGACCTCAGGATAAATCTAGAGGAAGGTTGTGTTTAGAGACAGGGAGATTTAGAATGGACACGTTGCTTTCAAAGAAGCCATTCCTACATCCACTCTCGTAGACTGGAAATGGATTTCCTATTCTCATTTGGGTAGACCATGTTTAGTAAAACGTAAGTTCAGGAACTATTTGTAATGTTTATATTTCTAACCCGCCTGAGATGTAGTAGCAGAAAGACAACACACTGCTGATTGGGGTGACTTTTCCACTTTGCCCTCAGAGTGTGGAGCTACAGCTGGGATAAATGTCAATGATGACAAAACCATTGTCCTCCTTCGGCAGGACCAGGTAGGAATGAGACATAATGAATCTGACCTCCTGCTGCTCACAAAGTATGGCTAGGTACTATGGAACTGTATCCTTGGTCAGTACAGATCAAAAGTCAACAATGAGCTATGCAAGTTGACAAACTCGATAAAAACTACCTGGGTGGGTGGTGGAATCAGATAAACAGAGAAGAATATTATGATTTTAAATGATGGGAGCTACAAGATTCTTCTTGTTCAAAGAAGTCACAACTTCATGGAATCAGAAAATCAAATACGAGTGGTCCCGGACTTACTATGGTTTGATTTATGACATTTTCAGCTTATGATGGGTTTATGAGGAGGTAACCTGTCATAGGTTGAGGAGCCTCTGTAACATGTATCACGCTGGAAACCCAGGGAGGTCGGTGATGTGAATTGCTCTCCCTCATAACTTGAAGTTAGAGCTGGGTTCAGAACTCACGTCTTCTGACTGCAGGCCAGTGGTATTTCTAATATGGTCACTTGTTTTAAATTTGCAATGAGTTGTCATAAATGTCAAAATAAAGTCCCGTTGGTTGACTGCAGTGTGATAAAGACAATGGTAGACATGAACATGGCTTTCTGGGCAGGAACTATTTGTCAAGACATGTTTGTTTTTGCTGTTAAGACATGTTTGTTTTGGTACTTAATGTCCAGGTTCAAGTGCAAATTCTTTCACTTACTGAATTACCAAACACATCTTCAGATGGCCAGTGTCAGTCAGCGAGGCCAGTCCTGGAAACTTAAACCAATAACTAGAGAGCCATCAGGTCCTGGGAAATAGCCCATTCTTTCTGTTCTGTGATATCTAAGTACTTCCTCTAGTGTGGACAAGAAGTAAGACCACACGGAGGAACAACGAGGCTGTATATCAGGAAAGGCTTTTCCGCACTTAGGTGATTGAAACATCTCTACAATAATAATTTATCTGACAGGGAAAGGCAGCAGATATTTCTTGAGCACTTTTGGCACAGGAAACTTGCTATGCATCTGACCTTATGGAATTCTGACAGAAGGCTAGGAAGTCATGACCGGCAGCCCCATTTAACAAATGAGCAAACGGAAGCTCAGAGGAGCTACACAGCCTGCCCACATTTGTTTAGCTAAAAAGTCGCTAGAATTCAAACCCTGGCTTTACAGTTTTAAAGCTATTATTACATTAAGCTGCCTCCAGCTTAGACGATGTTTTCTCACCCAGTGATGCTGTTTGAAGAGAAATAGCATTTATCTGTCTTGCAGGGGAGCTTGGAGAAAAAAAAATCAGTATTTCCTATGTTGCTCCATAATAGCCCCCATATATCAAAAAGAAAATTGTAATGGCAGTAATTAATCTCTATAAAATGTCTTAATTTCTCAAAGCACATTTAATTTTAGCCAGAAGACAGTGTCTTCTGGGTCACGAATTTCTAGCACAAGACTGGCATAGAATTTCTTCATCGAGGTGAGACAATAACTTTCCAGAACTGGCAACTAATTATTTTCCCCTTTCCCCAGTGTTCCCTAAAGTTTTCTGCACCTTTATGTGTGTATTAAAGATAATTTCTAGTACGGCCAGTATGGCTCAGTGGTTGAGTGTTGACCTATGAACCAGGCGGTCACAGTTTGATTCCTGGTCAGAGCAAATGCCCGGATTGTGGGCTTGGTCCCCAGTAGGGGGCGTGCAGGAGGCAGCCAATCAATGATTTTCTCTAATCATTGATGTTTCTCTCTCTCTCCCTCTCCCTTCCTCTCAGAAATCAATAAAAATATATTTAAAAAACACACAATGAGATATCACCTCACACCTGTCAGAATGGGTATCATCAGAAAATCAACAAACAACTTTTGGCAAGGATGTGGAGAAAAGGGAAACCTCATGCACTATTGGTGGGATTGCAGATTGGTGCAGCCACTATGAAAAACAGCATGGAGGTTCTTCAAAAAAGTAAAAATGGAACTGCCTTATGACTCAGTGATTCCACTTCTGGGTACATATCCAAAGAAACTCAAAACACTAATTTGAAAGAATACATGCCCCCCTATGTTCACTGCAGTGTTATTTACAATAGCCAAGATATGGAAGCAAAATAGATCCAGAGACACAGAAGAATGGAACAGAATCTCAGAGGGAAGGCAGGGGTGGGTGGTGGGTGGGGAGAGATTATCTGTATATATGCATAACCCATAGACACAGACAATAGTGAGATGAAGGCCTGGGAGGGCGGGGTGGAGCGGTCAATGGGAGAAAAAAGGGACATCTGTAATACTTTCAACAATAAAGATAAATTTTTAAAAAAGATATGGAAGCAGCCCAAGTGTCTATCAATAGAGAGTGGATATGCAATGAAATATTACTTGGCTATATAAAAGAATAACATCTTACCATTTATGACAGCATGGATGAACCTAGAGGGTATTATGCTAAGCGACATAAATCAGTCAGAGAAACACAAATACCATATGATTTCACTTGTATGTGGAGTCTAAAGACCAAACTAAATGAGCAAGCAAAATTGAAACAGACTCAGAGACACAGAGAACAGACTGATAGTTGCCAAAGGGGAGGAGTTTGGGGGAACTGGGTGACAAAGGTGAAGGGATTAAGAACTACAAATTGCTAGCTACAAGAGAGTTATGGAGATGTAAAGTACAGCACAGGAAATGTAGTCAATAATATTGCAATAACTATGTATGGTGCTGGGTGGGTACTGGAAATACCAGGGAAATCACTTTATAAAGTATATGATTGTCTAATCACTATGCTGTACACCTGAAACTAATACAAAATAATATGGAATGTAAATCATAATTAAAAATAAACTTAAGAATAAAAGAAATGGAACCACACACGCAAAAGCACCTTAACATCTTAGGCATTTGGTTTTGGAAGAGCATGATAAATACAGTATTTCTCTCACACAAACATGCTAGGCCTTCGTTTCCATTGGAGTTCTATGACAATTTAGTGCCTTGTCTTCAGTTGACAAAGATTCAGGGCCAGACATATAGTAGAATTCGAGCTGGGGGTGGCCAGGCAGAAATGTGCTTAAGTAGGAATGGCAGAAATCGCCCCAAGAAACCGAGACTATAGTATAGGGTGCAGGTGGATTCATGGGATGTTACAGGACAACAGGGGTTTCTGGACACTCATTCCCAAGGTACTTATACTGTTGCAAATACCACAGTCTCCATGACCTTAACATAGAGCTTCATATCTCAAAGCAGATGGACTGCGTCATTCGTCTCAAAGGCAAATTTGATTTAAAGTTTGAAACGCAGATATTTCTTCTTCCTAAGAGGAATTCTTCTCTTACCTCCCAGATCTTCTCCAGCTGTTCAAAGATGCTGGTAACCCCAGGAAACAAAGGTTGACCCTGGAACATTTCAATAAAGATGCAGCCGGCACCCCTAGCAAAAGAAATAAGAGTCAACAGACCGTTTCAAGGAAACCAGACCTGCAAAACTGAACTACTAGCATTTCTCCTCCCAGGAAATATTTTGGGGACAGTTAAATAGAGGCCACATGCTATTATAAAATCTTGGGCAAAAAAATAAAAGTCCCTTTGTCAACCAAAAAATAAGAACAGCCTGCAGCTTTTTGTTAAACTGGAATGCAACCAGCATTTAGGAACACAGTATAGGGAGCAAACATTCTGGCTCATTCAAGCTCATTAACTGTCCATTTTATGAGAGGAGGGGAAAGTTCTAAACCTCCAAACTGAACGCTCTCTTCCACTGAACCTAAGATGCTGTCATTGTAAGAGGCACCACTATTGTGTGTGCCATTAAGAAACAAAACACCTGCGAGTTAAACTATGACATGCTCAGAATGTTGCCTTTACACTTATTGAAAGGGCTGCTATACACTTAATTAGACAGATTATTTCATCATATGTCATACTTGTACATGCAAAAACTGGAACATCAAGTGAAAGACATTGGTTTAGGTGTTCCTGAAACTTTTTTCCACATTCAGCATTTGACTCAGACTCTTTGATGTCTATGTTTATCCACGGTATCGCCCTCGACATCAGGAGTTTGATGACACAGCATGTCTTAAAATAATCCATTAGAGAACTAACAGTCACTGGTGCTGGGCTCCCAAGCTGACCTTGCAGTTACATAGCCTACTTCTATGTCACCTTTTTACATAGGTGACTCCTGCTTAAAGAATGTTGCTAAACACGTCTGATTCACTCTCTTTCCACAACCGTTTGGTTCTTGGGGGAGGGAGGAGGAGGGAGGGAGAGGAGGGAAGGGGGGGGAGCTCTTCTGTCAGCAAGATTCTTCCAAGTCACTGACACTCATGCTGCAAGTCCTGACGCTGGCACGTTTGATGTTCACACATGTGCAATGGCAACTACAGTGCAGCCGGGCTGATGGCTATGGTCAGATGCTGCTGATTGTAAGCCGCATGCTGATTTAAGGTGCAGCAAGAGTGTGCATCTGAAAATAGGTTAAATGGGGTGAAACATGTTTCCTTCCCTATGTAGTCAAATGAGGGAGTCATTGTTGAGAGATAGTAAGAAGTATGATTTATTTTGCTAATAATGCACACTTTTCTTCTTATCGTCTCTGGATGATAAAAATGGCTCAGTGGACAGATTACAGAGATTCTCCCCACGGTCCAATACTTTGGCTCCAAATCCCTTTCACCATAACACACAATTCTGCAAACTCCTTGAACCAGCTTGACATTTTTTGGCCTGGCATGATAAAGGATATATAAGTAAAGCATTTTATTACAAATCATCATATTATTAAAGATTCATATTAAATATGGTCTTTAATATTATTCATATGTATTTATCCCATGTGATAAATTTTTATTTTTTCCATCTGACTATAGACACACGCTATTTAATTTACTTTAACTTGGGTAGGAGAAAGCAGAATTCTTATATATATAATTAAAATCTAACTGTATTTTATTATTTCTAAAGAAATATAGACTGTTTTCATGAGCTAATATTGGGTTTGCATTTTAAATAATCAACTGGCTTATTCTTAGACTTTTGTACGTATGTGAATAAAAGCTACCAGATTGAGGTTTGCAAGCAGATTTCTTCCCCCTCAAACAACAGGTTGTTTTTATCCCCAATTTTTAAAAAGTCAATTTGGATATAATAGCCACATATTTACTTTTTAATGATTTTTCATGTCTAGGAGACATCTTGATATGTGTTAAAACATCTTTGATCAGACAAATGTAACTTAAGAATCTGGTTAGCTCTAGCCAGTTAGAGCGTTGGCCTGTGGACTGAAGGGTCCTGGGTTTGATTCTGGTCAAGGGCATGTACTCTCTCTCTGTCTCTTCCCCTCCTTCCACTCGCTCTAAAAAAATCAATGGAAAAAGTATCCTCAGGTGAGGATTAACAAAGAATCTGGTCAGTAGTGTCTTGAGTCAAATTTTTAGAACTATTGTCATTTTAAAGCTTCTCATTAGCTTGTCTTTAAATATCCACATTCTTTTTTGCTTCTTATCTTTAAAGCAACAGATATATAGGGTGTCCCAAAATTCACACAAGAAGTACAGTGGGGCCTTGACTTACGAGTGTCCCGACTAACGAGTTTTTCGAGATATAAGCCGTCTCTCGGCCGATTTTTTGCTTTGAGTTGCGAGCTAAAATTTGGGTTACGAGCCAGCTTCAGATACCCCACCACCAGTTGGCGCAGCGAACGTCACAGTGAACGCCACAACATCAGCCCAGCATCACGTGTCTCACTCGTTCACTTTAAGATTTGACATACGAGTAATTTGAGTTACGAGCTCCGTCACAGAACGAATTAAACTTGGAAGTCAAGGCCCCACTGTAATTTTGATAGAAAACACAGGTTTATAATTAAAAATTGTAAATTTTTTATTGATTCATAAAGTATACAGCATAGGGTTATGTATGGAATAACACATCAGGTAAATGGCCTCCACGGCTTTGCTGGCACATACGCAAAGCTGTGGTCTTCATTGGTCTTCATTGTCCCTGCTCCTGGGCCATAATTGGTACCTGGTAATGCTTATCAAATTGAAGGGATTGAAATCAAAGGGCAATAGATATTAGAATCAGATTCAATAAACCAAGTAAAATTAGGCTTTTATTTTTTGTTGTTGTTGTTAATGCTCACGCAAAATTCAAATCTTGCATGAATTTTGGGACACCCTATAAAAGGTATAATTTAAAAACAGTAAGTGGAGAAGACTAGAAGTAATGGAAAACTGTCAAATGGTTTAAAATCATTTTGGTTGCTAGCAATGGTCAACTATGAGATAAGCCAACTCAGAAACTGAGCTGGTGAATACCATCCAATGGTCTCCACCCCCTGCCCTAACCCTTCTCTGTGTGTGCTGGCACCGGGGATTAGGAAATCAACGCTCCAGATACACTGGGGGAAATTTCTGCAACCTTTCTCAATTCTTTGGGAAATCTAAAGCTTAGTTTAGCCTTTTAGGATACTGTCTAATGCTTTTAATCCATTATTGATTTTTTTAAAAAAAAAACAGTGCCTACCGTTTATATATGACCTTCTAAGGTCTTGAAAGAAGTCCATGTATTTTTTTTTACCTTTGAGGAGATGCCTATGACTGTGGTCACCACACATCTAACTGTGGCCCCCACATGCCTGAGATATTTCAGGAATAAGGTCTAGATAACATAACACCACTGCCCTAGGAAGGAGGAGTGCCTGAGAGCCCACACTCATCACCACATCCCTTTAATCCAAGAGCCTCCCCAGCAATGTGGTTCTACTTGACACCATCTATCTTGTTCTTACACTTGAACTACAATCCCATTTAACCCCTCAAGGGGAGAGTTTGTTACCCTCATTTTAAAAATAGAGAAACATAGACATAAAGAGGATACATGGCTTTTTCAAGATAACAGAATCCAGAGAAACTGATTAGAAGTAGAATTGGCATAAAAATCAGGTCTCCTGATTCTTGGTCATTATGCTTTTGCCACCAGGCTCTGAACTATGTTTGGACATGTGTGAGCATGCATGTACAGATGAGTGTGTGTGTGTGTGTGTGTGTGTGTGTGTGTGTGTGTGTTGGGAGTGTGTGTGTGTTTCTCTGAGGACAAGGAGAGAAGACAAAGGATTGACGAGAAGAGCTAGGAGGTGAGGCATGATAGAAAGAATATAGGATTCACGCGTTGGGCAAGACTGATCTGAGTCTCAGTTTCTTTAACTGTAAAAACTTGTAGAATGATTGGAAAAATCAAATGGGATAGATATTTGAAAGCACTTTACGTTTCTGTAGACAAATGTGATTATCATTAGAATTATTATTTAAAATATAGTACAGATGATAAAGTAACCCTCAAGGGTAGGGTGACTCCTATTTTGGGGGCACTAGCTCTTACCATATGTCCAGTTCAGAGGAATATTCAGTGGCTCCCAGCAAGGCATCAGGAGGGCGGTACCAGAGGGTCACAACTTCTGAAGAGTATGTCTGGCTGGGAATGGACTTGGCCCGAGCAAGACCTGACCAAAGGGGAGAAGCACAGAACTCACTGACCTGGGATCTGGAGAGCCACAGTGACACATTCTACCAGGGAGGGTTTAGCTGGCTGAGGAAACAATATTTAAAAATAACACACACTCTCTGGGTGCTTTTAAGAAAGCTACTCAACTATCTTAACCCTTGTGCACTTCTCCATCAAGTCCATTTCTCAAAGTTTGGCCGACTTTGCAGCTAGAGGTGGCCTTCCTGGCAGCTAAGTGTAATGAGTGACTAAATCTTGCCTGCACAATACAAACAGGAGTGATGTGCGAACTTCCAGATCTCCCTCCTCCCGGCTGTAATAAGAAGGAGGCGGCAGTCATCTTGAAATATGCACCTGGAGCAACACCCTGGGGACGGGGGGGCCACAGACAGAAGGAGGGTGCACCACGCACCGGGGTGCCACCTTACACGTTCTGACTGCTCAGCTCAGATGGTTATGTGAGAGTAAGTAGGCTTCTAGCATGTTTCTGCCTCTGTAATTCTGGGTCTCTGTAACAGCGACAGAACTCACTTCCTAACCAATACGGCCGCCCTCCATTTCTGCAGCCCAGGAATCCCCAGTTAGATAAAGGGTGGGGGTTGCTAATCCAAATTGGTTAGTTTGGTAGGACCTTAGATGAGTCATTTTCAAGGGCTCCCCTGCACAATGAGAGCACTTTGTCAGCCAGCCACTGATCTCACAGAACCACAAGATCTACAGCCGGAAGAATACTCAATAGATGAGTCATTGTGTGGGGCTTGGATAAATGAATGTCTGTTAAATGTTTACGTACATACCCGGATGAAAGCTACTATCTCAGAATAAAGTGCTGCAGCGACAGTACAACTCTCTGACATCTGCCAAACAGGGAAGAGCGGCTCCTCAGCTCCCACGGAACCAGCTCTTCAACTAATATTTGCTGAGCACTTACTATGGTGCCAGGCACTAGGGATACAACATTAAGCAAAAATGGACCCAGGCCGCCATGATAATGCCCATAGTCCAGTGGAGGAGTCAAAATTGTCACACAAATGAGTGTGAGTGTGTGTGTGTGTGTGTGTGTGTGTGTGTGTGTGATTATAAACTGTGATAAGTGCTAAAATGGAAAGATATAGTAATACTCAGGAGAAATCGGCATCACTTTGGTGGAAATAAAAGCCTCACCTATATAGATACAAAGAGCCTTCATTGCAGGAAGAGTCTATTCGACAATCTGGGGCTTGATCCTGTCATTCTGGGATATCCTCAATCTACTCTGATAGAATCTGTCTCTCCACCCAGATTTACAGAAACCTACCAAGTACAGTTCACTCTATAAATGTCTCTATATCAAAAAAGGCAGTAGACTAGTAGGGGTGCCCAAGTTTTAGGATCTGACCAGACTGGAGCTTGATATGATCCTAGAGAGCTGCCATCTCTCCATGTCTTGCCTCGCACTTCCTATATGGTAGTTTGATATCCTCACAAAGCATCACTCTCCTTGAGCCTCAACTTTTCAAAGGCCAGGACTCGTCGATGCTTTAAACACGTGTGCACAAAAGCATCATTGTTCACAGCCCAGAAAGAGACTCGAGGGGCAGCTTACCAAAGTCAGCCAGCTTGAGCTCTCCCAGGTGACTGATGAGAATGTTCTGAGGTTTCAGGTCCCTGTGAAGAACGTGTTGGTGGTGGATGTACGCCAGGCCCCGCAAAAGTTGAAACATGAAAAGCTGGAAGGAATGAACACCTTATCTAAACAGATTTGAGCCACTATGTGTGGATTTCTTCTCTAAATCAAAAACAGTCATCCGTAGAATATAGTAAAAGTGTCTCTTGAGAGATAAAAAAAAAAAAAAAAGAAATGAAAAAAGGAGATTTTCTATTCAGAGCGGGAAGAAAGTACAAGTAAGTAGACCATGTCCTAAACAAAGGGATTCTGGATTTCCCTGACATCTCATGTCTTTGGTATTGAAGGAATTACCCTTCCTTAAAATCTAGAGCGAAACTTTGAAGTTTCTCTTGGAACACTAGTTATTGATTTAGATTTGAGAGATTTAATTTTTTTTTCCCACCGACAAACTTGGCATGTAAGATCAAAGTTGACCTGGAAATGATATTCTAAGGTTTACAACTGCTTACATTTCCCAAGCTCTCTGATATGAAAGCCTTTTAAAAACACAACACAAGGAGACCAGACTGGGAAACGTATCCTTAGATAGTAAAAGGAAAGAAAGGGACCATTATCTTTTTAAACCTATTTTTAAAGTCTTAGGTTGAAAGTTGAAAATGAGGGAAATATACAGTAGAGATTAAGAGGGAAGAGAGACCAAAAGAAATTAGACCCCCCCCAAAAAAAAAATCAAAAGAGACTGAGGAATAAGTAGCAGAGAGAAGAAAGAAGAGGGAATGGGAAACAACAGAAAAAATACATTCAGGTCCCCAAATTTGAAATGTTGCACGTGGTTATAAGGCACAGTAACCAGACATTTTCAGATCCCCACCATTATAGAAGTTTAAGGGGGAAAAGAATGCTCCATTTTCCAAGTGTCTTTTGCTATTTTCCAGCGCCCCTGGCAATTGAGAATTCAAATACCAACAATTAGTGTTTACAAAGACCAATGCCAACTGCAAACATGTTCTGACAGTTTAGAAAAGAAAGGACCAGCCCCAGGCTTCCTGTGGACGCAGGCAAAATAGCAGACACAGAGCTGTGTGGATGAATCCACTTTCCCACCACACCTTGGAAACTAGGAACTGCAGAGACGCTAGGACCTGTACTGATCTCACAATGACTTGGACACACTGGAGCCAAGTTCATGAGCAGCCTGGTCTGACCGAA